CTGGGGAGGGGCCCCGTGTTCTGGGTCTGGGGAGGGGCCCCGTGTTCTGGGTCTGGGGAGGGGCCCCGTGTTCTGGGTCTGGGGAGGGGCCCCGTGTTCTGGGTCTGGGGAGGGGCCCCGTGTTCTGGGTCTGGGGAGGGGCCCCGTGTTCTGGGTCTGGGGAGGGGCCCCGTGTTCTGGGTCTGGGGAGGGGCCCCGTGTTCTGGGTCTGGGGAGGGGCCCCGTGTTGTGGGTCTGGGGAGGGGCCCCGTGTTCTGGGTCTGGGGGGGGGCCCCGTGTTCTGGGTCTGGGGAGGGGCCCCGTGTTGTGGGTCTGGGGAGGGACCCAGTGTTGTGGGTCTGGGGAGGGGCCCCGTGTTGTGGGTCTGGGGAGGGACCCAGTGTTCTGGGTCTGGGGAGGGGCCCCGTGTTCTGGGTCTGGGGAGGGGCCCCGTGTTCTGGGTCTGGGGAGGGGCCCCGTGTTCTGGGTCTGGGGAGGGGCCCCGTGTTCTGGGTCTGGGGAGGGGCCCCGTGTTCTGGGTCTGGGGAGGGGCCCCGTGTTCTGGGTCTGGGGAGGGGCCCCGTGTTCTGGGTCTGGGGAGGGGCCCCGTGTTGTGGGTCTGGGGAGGGGCCCCGTGTTGTGGGTCTGGGGAGGGGCCCCGTGTTGTGGGTCTGGGGAGGGGCCCCGTGTTGTGGGTCTGGGGAGGGGCCCCGTGTTGTGGGTCTGGGGAGGGGCCCCGTGTTGTGGGTCTGGGGAGGGGCCCCGTGTTGTGGGTCTGGGGAGGGACCCCGTGTTCTGGGTCTGGGGAGGGGCCCCGTGTTCTGGGTCTGGGGAGGGGCCCCGTGTTCTGGGTCTGGGGAGGGGCCCCGTGTTGTGGGTCTGGGGAGGGGCCCCGTGTTGTGGGTCTGGGGAGGGGCCCCGTGTTGTGGGTCTGGGGAGGGGCCCCGTGTTGTGGGTCTGGGGAGGGGCCCCGTGTTGTGGGTCTGGGGAGGGGCCCCGTGTTGTGGGTCTGGGGAGGGGCCCCGTGTTGTGGGTCTGGGGAGGGGCCCCGTGTTGTGGGTCTGGGGGAAGAGCTCTAAGTCCTGGGCAGCACAGCCTGGAGCGGAGAGTCAACTCACAAAGCTGGGAGGAGACTGAAGGGAGGCAGTGGTTTTGGTTCAAATATCACCGACTCTCACTCTTCTTATCAAATTTTCGTTAACTGTTCTTGAACAGACGTTTCTTCATTTCTGTTTACCCTGTGGGCCATTTCCAGAAACTTTGAATATTTTTTTAGTTTTTTTCCTACTTTTCACCAGTTTCATGGGGAGCAAGTCGGTGGGCCTCTGGAGCTTGTCCTGTCAGTGTTGGTCTCTGCAGGCAGAGGTCCTGGCATGGGTGCGTGCACAAGTCTAAGCTGGAGCTGGGTGCGGGAAAAGGCTCAGCAGCAGTTCTCCAATGAACGGGTTTTCTCTTAGTTCTCCTGGTAGCCACCCCTCCCCTCAACAGGATGGAGCCCAGGGAGGTGCCTCAGGTGTTTCAGTCAGTGTCTGATAACAAAAGCCACCACCAAGCCTCCCTGGAGCATCGGAGGGTCTGGTCCAGTCTCATAAGTACTGAGCCGCAGCTTCACTGCACTGCGGTCCCCCGAGCCGCCACGCCAGCTCTGGGCCTGCGATGGGAGGGGGCGGTCAATTCCTGCTCTCTGTGCTCGTGGCCTGGTCTCAAGCTTCCATTTATGACTCACCCCGGACCAGCGCAAGGGAGGGCGGGAGTGTTTGCTGCGGCTGCTGTGATGGGTCACCATAAGCTTCAGTGGCTTCACAACACAAGATCATTCTCTACGTTTCTGGAGGCCAGAAGCCCCAGCCCCGCACCCCTGGGCCCAGGAGAAGGCGTGGGCAGGGCTGGCTCCTCCTGGAGCCCCCGGGCAGAGACCCTTCCCTGCCTTTTCAGCCTCCTGAGCTGCACTCCTCGCAGCCCTCGGCTCCCGGCCCGTCGGGCGTCTCCCAGCCAGCAGCCGGGCATCCTGCTTCGGCCACGGAACCTGCTGCTTCTGCCTGCTTCTCACGGGACACTGGAGATCATATTTCGGGCCCACCTGGGTACTCCCCATCTCGAGATCCTCAGTGTAATCGCATCTGCGAAGTGCCTTTGTCATCTGCGGGAATGCTCGCAGACCCAGGGGGCCGGCCCTGCAGGCCTTTGGGCCTAAGGACTGAGATAGGCTTATGTGGCCGGTTCCACCATGGCCCGGCATGGCCAGTGGCTGACAATGACTTCTCCCCCTGGGGGCGGCTTTTGACGGGCCTCCCATGGAGACCCAGCTGCAGCCCGTGATGGAGCTCGATGCCCTCCCAGCTGCCAGCTCTGCCCCCCCCCCCGCCGCCTCATTCTAGGCCCCAGCATCCACCCTCTGTCGGGGTGCCAAACCCACCAGGGGTCCTCTCCGTCAAGCCCCACTTGCGGGGTCCTGGGTGGCCTTGGGGGTTGGGCACACGTGCCCGCTGCCCACCCTGGCCCTGCGGCTCTCCTGACCCCCAGCAGCGGCTCTGGGCCACGTTGCACAGGGCTTCGGGCGCAGGCCAGCTCGGCTCTGCCGCCTGCTAGGCGGAGCCCCTAAGGAGACCTACTCACCTTCTTGTACCTGACTCGGCACAGCATAAGTACTTTGAAAAACAGAAAATTTTCTGGTGCCAGTCCCCAGGCACCAGAGGACACACACTCAGCTTCAGAAGGGGAGCCCTCCCCGCTCTTGCCTCCAGGCACCTCAGATTTGGGGTGGGGTGGATTCCCCCCCATCTCACTGCATGATTCTGAGGCTTTGAAACCTCAGCTGAAACGGAGCCGGAAAGAAGCGCCTGCTAACATCCTGTTGTCCTGGGGTCTGGGCTGAGGGAGCAGGGGGTGCTGGGGGAGAGGCGAGGATGGGCCCTGGGCTGAGCCTGGGCTGCTACCGCCCCCGCCCCCGGCCTTTCGGGGGGCTCCAGGAAGGTGATGGCTTCTGCAGTCTTCCTCTTATTTTCCCTCAACTTTTTTTTTTGTTTTAACTAAACCTTTAATTTTGAGATCTCTGTAGGGTCACATCTATCTTACCAACTTTGTACATGGAAAACTTTCAAACCCTAAGAAAAGCTGTGAGAATGGCACGACATCCACATACCCCTCACCTGCATTCACCGATTCATATCTGATGGAGTTCATGGTTTTTAATCTACTAATCTAATCTAATATTATCCATAGCTATATAGATAACACATAGAGATAGACACAGAAATATGGATATGGACTCACTCTGTCCACTAGGAGATAGGAGATATATTTATTAGTATTATTTTTTAATTGGAGTATAGTTGCTTTACAATATTGTGTTACTTTATACCATACAGCAAAGTGGGTCAGCTATACGTATACATATAGCCCCTCTTTTTTGGATTTCCTTCTCATTTAGACATTGAGTAGAGTTTCCTGTGCTATACAGTAGGTTCTCATTAGTTATCTATTTTATACATAACATCAATAGTATATATACATCCATCCCAACTCCCAGTTCATCCCACCCACCCCTTTCACCCTTGGTATCCATACGTTTGTTCTCTACGTCTGTGTCTCTATTTCTGCTTTGTAGATAAGATCGTCTGTACCAATTTTTTCAGATTCCACATATATGCGTTAATATATGATATTTGTTTTCCTCTTTCTGACTGACTTCACTCTGTATGACAGTCTCTAGGTCCATCCATGTCGCTACAAATGACCCAATTTCGTTCCTGTTTATGGCCGAGTATACAGGAAATATATTTCTAAAAATACAAATACATATATATATATAATGAGTTTATACATATAAAATGAATTTGTGTATATATATAATGAATATGTGTATATATATATATATATATATATATATATATATATATATAATTTTATTTTATTTATTTTTTTCCTGCCTCTGTCTGCGGAGAGGGCCTGGAAACAATGACACCTCCGTACTGATGAGCCCACCCAACACCAGCTGAATCCTGGGTTCTAAACACCATCTTCCACCCCTCAGAGATGCCTGGTTCCACGGCTGGGGCAGAAGTCCTGGAAGAGTGTGAACCTACCATCAGAGAGATGGGAAGAGCTCAGAGAATGGTGGGGATGTGTCAAAAGGACAAGGGGACATCTCGAAGGGAGGTGCCACTGGCCAAATCTGGGACAATGTAAGCATCAAAGTTAAATAATAATAGTAATAGATCATAATCCATTGACTAAAATCTGAAAGCATGATGTAACCCTATTGATATAAGTGAAGGAAGAAAAACTCTTTTTTTTTACAGAAAAAACCCAATCTGACTTCACGCTGATTCATCCAATTCCCGTCCAACAACACAGGGCTCTTCCTCCCTTTCCCCTTCCAGGTCCAGGTCTCCCTCCTTCCCTGGAGAGAAGCAAAGGTCAAGATTATTTTCAGTCCTTGTGGACCTTAGGATTGCCATCCCGCTGAAGGTGCCCGGTGTTTAAATCAGAAGAGGCATCTTCTGAACTGGGCTTTGATGGATGAATAGGAGTCTCCTGGGAAGAGAAAGGGGAAGAGAGCACCAGGCAGAGGGCCTCTCATGTGGAAAGGCTGGAGGACGAAATGGACATGTGGGGTGCCCCTCGGACGTGGCTGGAGCCCGTGTTTGTTCAGACAGTAGGGGAGTAACCAAGGATGAGTCTGGAGAGCTGGGGGTGGGGGTAGTGGCTTGGAAGGGCCCTGGTTGTCAGGCAAGGAGCGTGGGGTCGATGCAGCAGGCAGTGGGAAGTCACAGGAGGCATCGGAGCTTAGAAACTGTGGAGGGGACATCGGCAAATGAGGGGGCGTGGCTGGCACCGCAAGACACAGTGTCTGAGCTGGGGATGGCTTTGCAGCGTTTCTGCTCTGGGTCCTCAGTTTTATCATCTGTAATGCGGGTGCAGGAGGAGGATCCACTCCCAGGGCTGCCTGGGGACTCCCTGGGGTCTGAGGTGGGCCTGTGGCTCACACGCCCTGTTCTGGGACATCTCTGCTTCCTGTTTCTTCTGTCAGGGGAAGTCTCGGTCTCAGCTTCAAAAGCACAAACACGCTCTCAAAACAAAGGAAGACGGTCCTCGACTGCAGAGGAAGCAGGAAGCTACTGGCCCTGCTCAGAGCCCAGCTGCCGGGGCTCGGGGACAGCGGCATGGAGTCCGTGGCTCTCTACAGCTTCCAGGCCACAGAGAGCGATGAGCTGGCCTTCAACAAGGGGGACACACTCAAGGTAGGGTGGCCAGAGCCGGCTCAGCTGGCCTCGTGTGGGATGCGGGGTGCTTAAAACCAGGGCCCGGACAGCCCCCCAAACAGAGTCCAGTCTCTGGAGGAAGACGGGCCTGGCTTCTCCAGTTATCAAGTCTGTGACTCTGGACAATCCACCTCCACCCCTCTGAGCCTCAATTTCCCCATTTGAGAAATGGGGAGATAGTTAGTGATCCTCCTTTGGGGGCCATTGTGAGGGTTCAAGGAGACAGCATAGTGCCTGGCAGGGGTTGATTCAACACCGTTTCCCAGGAAAGAATTTGAAAAGACAGCTGGGGAAAGAGAGAGAGAGGAAGAGGCAGAGACGGATGCAGAGGGACAGAGAGAGGGTCTTGGGAATTAAGTACACCCACTAACCTGTTGGGGCTAAAACCACTATGATTAGGGGTCCAGACGAGCTTCCCTGCAGGTGAGAAAGGGGAATATAAGCCTCAACACCGCTCAGGTCCCTTGTTTGGCCTCTGGAGGAACACACGCCTTCCAGGGCGACCCAGGCAGATGGGCTCCCGGGCTCTGTCTCTCAGGAAATGTCCCTGCTTACAAGTCTGCATCTGGAAGCAGAGCTCAGGGCCCTGATTTGGGAGGGGCCGTGCCACAAGTCGGGCGCTGGAGCTGCCACCAAGTCACGCTCAGGAAGCCCCTGCCCTTCCCTGGGCCTCGGTCTCTGCACCGGCGCAGTGGGCATGAGGCTTCCAGTCTGAGCCGGGGCGCAGGAAGGGACAAGGCCTCCGTGTGCTGACCCCGTACAGAGCCCCAGGTCCGAGCTCAGCGGTGCGCATCAACACCCATTTAAGCTGCTGAGGCCCCACTTCACAGGTGATTAAATGAGGCACAGGCAGGCGCCAGAGCTTGCCTGGCGTGGGGTCAGAGGTGAACCCCTGTCCTTTGACTCTGGAACCTGCATTCGGAACCCCGTGACACTGAACAGCTGGGCTAGGTCAGGAGGTGGACGGTTCCAAGAAGAACCGCATCTTTTTGAGGATGTCCCCCTTTCTCTGTGCTGGGATGCCAGCCCTGGGCCCCCCTGAGTGGCTGGTGGGGGGACCTGTGGATGTGTGGCCAGCTGGGGATGGGGCAGGCTTGACACCAGCACCACCTAGCCAGGGCACGAGACTCTTGAGATCCAGGTCTGTTTCAGAGGCCTCGTTTGCCGATCCGAGAGCAGTTTGGAGTCTCTAGTTCCAGACTTTGGGGCTTGAGAGGCAGTGGAACAGTGGGGAACTTGGAGTGGGGTGACCGGTGGGGTCTACCTGAGGTTCAGAGGGATGAACCAGGGTGGAGGGAGTAGATCCGTGGGGTCCCCCAAGGCAAGTGTTGTAAAGACGGTGACATCCCCGCTTCCCTCCTAGATGCCTGTGCTCACCCCTGCCCACCCAAGATGGGCCAAGTTTCCCACTAAGCTTTGATAGAGCGTTGGCCGACTCCTGCTGTCTTTGCTTCTAACCAAGGCTCCTGAGGGCAGGGACATAAAACAGTGCCTGGCACAGGGCAGGCCCCCAGCAAGACACGGGGGTGTCGAAGGAATGAAGGAAGGAAGGAAGGAAGGAAGGAGATGTTAGCCGAGACCCTGGCTAAGACCCCAATGGGATTTGCTCCTAGTGTCCGTGGAGACCCAGGAAGGGACCTTTCAAGGAATGACAGGCCACCGGAGGGGCTGCTTTTTCCTTCCTTCATTCAACAAACCCTTGTCAAGCCCTCGAGCACCTGCTCAGCACCAGGCATTGTCCTAAGTGCCGAGGACACAGCAGTGGACGAAGCCCAGTCCCTGCCCTCCCGGAGCGGACATTCCAGAGGGTGCGTGCCGTCAGGAGGTGACAAATGGGTGGAAGAAATCACCTGGGGAGATGGAATGGAGAGGGTGGGTGGGAGGGAGGGGCAGGGGGACAGCTTTAGATGGCGGGGGGTGGTCAGGGCAGTCTCTCAAAAGAGATGACACCTGAGCTGAGAGCTGAAGGATGAGCAGGACCCAGCCATTGCAAAGAGCGGGGGGAGGAGGGTGGATGGAGAGAATGCAGCAGGTGGGGCTGCGGGGCGTGGGTGAGTTTGCAGTGTGGACTCACCCTAGCTACCTGCCCAGGGGTGGCACAAAATATCACACAGCCCCTAAGAATGCTCTTTGGGGAGGGGGGCGTTTAACGACATAAAAATGCTCATGAAGCAACGTTAAGTGGCAAAAAAGCAGAATGCAAAGGAACATGCACAGATTCAACTGACCCATAATCAATAGATATTAGTTTTAGGGATGGGAAACTGACATTCACGCGTTGGATTTGTGCCTAGAAAAAAACACCAGAAAGAATGCCTTGAGGAGCTAGCGGTCACTCCTGGGAGGCATGCTGTGAGCAAATCACGCTTCCTTGTTCACACGTCTGCCTTTCCTCACAGGACAGAGATGAGCAAATGATCCTTCCAGGGCCACACGTGGAGTTAGGGTCCTTCCTCTCACAGCTGTACAGGTGCCGGGTCAAAGCCTGCCTTGATTTAAGATTTTTCTTTTAATTTAAAAAAATATTAAAATTTTTGGCCATGCGGCGCGGCACGGCACGCAGGATCTTAGTTCCCCAGCCAGGTATTGAACCCATGCCCTCTGCAGTGGAAGCTTGGAGTCCTAATCACTGGACCCCGTGGGAAGTCCCTGATTTAAGAGTTTGATGGAGTGTTTTGCACTAAATTTTAAATAGACTATTTTTTTTAATTAATTAATTAATTTTTGGCAGCTTTGGGTCTTCGTGCTGCACGCAGGCTTTCTCTAGTTGCGGCGAGCGGGGGCTACTCTTCGTTGAGGTGCGCGGGCTTCTCATTGCAGTGGCTTCTCTTGTTGCGGAGCACGGGCTGTAGGTGCGCGGGCTTCAGTAGTTGTGGCACGTGGGCTCAGTAGTTGTGGCTCGCGGGCTCTAGAGCGCGGGCTCAGTAGTTGTGGCGCACGGGCTTAGTTGCTCCACGGCATGTGGGATCTTCCCAGACCAGGGCTCAAACCCGTGTCCCCTGCATTAGGTAGGCGTATTCTTAACCACTGTGCCACCAGGGAAGTCCCTAAATAGACTCTTTTTAAAACAGTTTGAAATTTACAGAAAAATCGAGAAGATGGTACAGAGGAATTCCAGTCTGACACCCTGCCGCCCCTTCCCACCGCCCACACACACTCACACGCACACCCTTGGTAACATTTTATATTATTAACCTGGTACATTTGTTACATTAATGGAGCAATATGGATACATTATTATTAACTAATGACCATATTCAGAAATTTTGATTTTTTAACATATTCCTTTAAAATATTCTCTATCTTGATTCCTGACTTTTTTGGAGCTCCCTTAAAGTTTGTACCCAAAGTGCCTCACCCATCCCACGCTAGTCCAGGGTCTGATTTCTGTAACCATAAAAACGTGGCTGCGATGTCGCCCTGTGTCCCCTCTGCCTCCCTGGGGCCGGGGACAGCGGGTGGGGCTGGTGGCTGAGCTCCACGACCTGTCCCTACGTGAGCATGTTTCCTGCACGCTGGCTGTGGGCCAGGCCTGTCCCAGCCCAGCAGTGACCGGCAGACACGCAGATCTCAGCCTCTGGGAGCCGGCAAGGATGCTACTCTTCCAGTCTGAGCTCTGCTCTTAGACGAAAGCCTGGTGGCACATGGACCCACTCTGGACAAGGGGCCCCAAATGTCACTTCCCTGGAACAAAGCCCCCCTCGCCGACGGGCAGGCGTTTCTGGGTGCACAGGACCCCGCTGCTCCCCACTGGAGGAAAGATGTGGGTGGTGGCTTCACCTCCACGTCTTCATGCACAGCCTGGCCCCCAGGACCCAGACTCGGGGAGCCCACGGCCTCTTGGCATTTCCCCGGTGGTGGCCGGTGCACCTCAGGCCTGACCCAGCCACCCTGAGCTTCCCCACCTCCTCTCGCACCTGTTGCACAGCAGCTGGCGGTCACGACCGCCTGCCCGCGCTCAGGCCCAGAGCCTGGGGTTGTCTCTGCTGCTTCCTCTCCGTCTCGTGTATCTCGCCTGTCAGCCGCTCTGCCAAAACCTACCCCGGATCTGACCACGTCTCAGCAGCCCCAGTCCAGGCCCCGTTCACAGCTCACCTGGGCCTGCTCTTCACAGACCCCTCGTCCCCCTCAGTCCCGGAGCACAAGACCTTCAAGCTCTCACCCTCCCCATTCAACTCACAGCACTGCCCCCACCCCCCAACTGCAGACACAGGGGCCAGAGCTTGCTCCCACCTTCGGGCCTTGGCACTGGCTGTTCCCCCTGCCTTGAACACTGTTTCTCACATCTTCTCATGTCTCATTCCTTCCTGTAATTTGGGCCTCAGCTCGTGCGCCACCTCCTCAGAGAGGCCTTTCTTGCCCACCCCCACCTGTCCCCTGTTGACAATCCCCCTGCCCCCAACCAGGCATCTTCCTTCTATGTCATCCTGACGTATATTTTCAGACCACAGAGCAGAACATTAAATTACCTTGTTTACTTGTGTCCTTCCTGTTTCTTGTCTGCCTCTGCCCACTAAAATGTGACCTCCTGCTTCCTGCTATATCACTGAGCTGGGCACAGCGCCTGGCATGCAGGAGGTGCTCCGTGGCTGCACTGGCCAGGGGACGGTGGCACAAGACAGCACCCAGGAGAAGGGCACTGCAGGGGCAAAGCAGGGGCAGGCCGAGGTGTGAGCTTCACCAGGGAAGGTCGGGAATTCCCATGTCTCAGAGGGTCTGGGGGCTTTGAACAATGTTAACAGCAAGAATTCAGCTAATACAACCAATCAGAACATTTCCGGGTCTTGCCCTGGAGTGGAGGTGACAGGAATACAAAACCAAAACAAAACTGGGATAAATTAGATATGTCACATCCACATGTCCACACAGGACTTTGCAGGTCACAAAACACTGCCATGTGCCGTGTAGGCCAGAGATGTGCCCATTTTACAGATGTGGAAACTGATGCCAGGGCTGTGGAGACAGTCAGCGGCAGGCAGAGTGGTCTAGAGCCCGACGCTCCCAAGAATCTTCACTGAGTCTGTGACCCGCAGGCCCTAATTTTCTCATTAAGTTGGGAGGGTTTTTTGTTTTGTTTAGTTTTCAGCAAAAGTTATCCTGAGTCAGCCACCTGCTTCCAGCTGTCCCTGGGGACGCTGGTCTGGCCCAGACTGCGGGGGCAGGAAGGAGCGGCTCAAGGGACCTGGCAGACAGACGAGGGAGAGGCCAGGCCTGGGCCCAGGGGGCAAATCTCAGCTCCTCTTGGTAAAACCAAACCACCTGAGTTGCTGTCCCAGCCTTTGCTCCCATGGTGCTCCCTGCTTGGGCTGCGGATCTGCGTCTGATTTTTTGTCTCAACCCGTATCCCCACTGGGGTTGACCTGACGTGGGGACCTGTTCTGGGACTTAGGGGAGAGATGACCCCCAGGTTGGGGTCCAGAGACAATGTGGGAGGAGGCACGGGGTGAAGACCGGGGCGGGGGGAGCCCCGGTCCTAAGACCCCTGCCGTGTGGCCCTGCTCCCGTCCCCTGTCTGGGCCTGTGTCCTCCTCTGGGAAGCAGCCTTTGGTGAAGGCGGCCCTGGGGCTGGTGTGAGAAGGGGTGACACATGGTGAGCCTGCCCAGGGAGTGGGGAGGGAGCCTGAGCGTCCCACTCGCCCGCCCGTAGCGGCCCCCCCACCCCGCTCAGGTTTCGGTTCCCCTCGGCCCACCTGCGGGGCGAGGGGGCAGCCCAGAGGCCTCTCGTTTGCTCCCCGGTGTCTGAAGCCCCCATCTGATCATCAGCCCTGAACTCAGACGTGAAGCTTGTAAATGCGAGTGACCCCCGTGACCACCGCTCGGCGGGGCCTCTGCAGACCTACCCCCGACCCCCGGCTCTGTGCCTCGTTATCAACTGCTGTGGGCCCCCCATGCTCAGGACCACAGCTCGGGGACTGAGGGGCCCCGGCTCTGTCCCCCAGCACCCGGGGTTCTGGGTGGCACGACCTGAGAGTTGCGCTCCAGCTCCCTGCCGTAAGCTCGAGCCACCAACCAAATTCTCTCCTCTGGGAAGTGGGCCCCAGGGCCGGCGTGGGGCTTCAGCAGGGGACAGCTGTCCCTCCTAGGTGGCCAGGTGACCGTGTCTCTCCCGCCCGCAGATTTTGAACATGGAAGACGACCAGAACTGGTACAAGGCCGAGCTCCGGGGCGCAGAGGGGTTCGTCCCCAAGAACTACATCTGGGTCAAGCCCCACCCGTGAGTGGCAGCCCCCCCCCCGCATGT